ATGATGTGATGAGATGTGTGATTCAAAAGTGTTAAATATTCGGCACTATTCAACTATTACTACCCCAATTTTCCGAAAACAGGCCGGATCTTGATCGACTTTTTTCTACGGGGGCAGATTTGGCTGAAAGTTGGGTTCTAGGGGTAATTCGACCTCCTGAACACGAATATCACATCCGCTCCTCCCGAAACTGCCTGGCGCCCGCGCCACAGGCGCCGGCGCCAAAGGTACCCTAGATCACCAAATCCGCTGAAAACTTACACACAGGGGTAGTTTGGTCTCGTGAAATATCACATTCGCTCGGCCTAACCCCCCCCCCCGCTGGCGCCCGCGCCACAGGCGCCGGCGCCAAAATACCCTAGGTCACCAAATCCGCTGAAAACTTGTATACGGAGGTTATTTGACATCTTGATTACAAATATCACATTCATTTTTGGCGCTGGCGCTGATGGAAGACGCTGCGATCATCTGCGCTCTGCTAAGGCTGAGCCTGACCTGAAGGAAATCACTCTTTCTCCCAGGCTCAGCCTTAGAAAAGCGCTAAATGGCGCTGGCGTCGAAAAATAAATGTCATATTCGTGATCAGGGCATCAAACAACCCCATTATGCAGGTTTTTATCGATTTGATAAAAAGGTGTGGCGCCAAATCAGCGCCTAATGGCGCCAAATGGCGTCAGGGCTGAAAACTAATTCGGTATTCGTGATCAGGACATCAAATAACCCTACTATGCAAATTTACACCGAATTGGTGAGAAAGGTGGCGTTTCCAGCGCTGGCGCTAAATTAGGCGCCAAACTGGCGCCAACGCTGGAAACGAGTGCTATATTCGTGATCAGGACACCGAATTACCTCTGTGGGCAAAGTTTCAGCAAAAAAATTTTTTGACTTTTTGGGTGTAGTAATAGTTGAATAGTGTCAAATATTCTTATGCAGGGCTGTAGGTCGCCGTAAAGGGAGCAGCTTAGGATCAATGATTTCATGAGCTTCTTTTCCATGGTGAGAGTCGAAAATATTCCATCGCGGTACGCGGTTAACCCTTAGGCTGCGTTCATACATTGCGACTCGGGAAAATAGGCGAACGCGCGCCGGAGGAAAGTCACGGTCGATCTGCCGGGGATATGATGAGAGGCGATAGATTCCCTTCTTTCTTCTAATCCATCACTATCCTATGCTCATAACTTGTAAAATATGAATGCGGCCTCGGATGCTTGATGGCGAGAAACGGGAGACAACATACCGGAATCGATGTAGAGCACAAGCTGATAGAGGAGAGACAGCGCTGTATGTAACCAGAACCACAGGTGAATACTGGGGCTTAGGAATATAAGATTAAGTAGTCCAGAAGAAGTACGAAAAGAAAAAAGAATTCTTATGGTACTGCTGCAGCTCGGGGAGTCGCGGCAAATCACAGAAGGATAATTCAGACAGTTGGATATGCACACGTCGTGGGCTGACTATAACGAGAACTCCCATTTTCCAGTCAGAGACACCTGATGGACCGCCTGCAGCTCCGCTGTCAAGCTTTCGAATTCCAAAGAAGTCAGCTAATGCACAGCCAAGCCCCAGCAGTGCGGGGGCAGGCTCTGTAATGGGAAGAGCTACGCAGAGTCCTTCGCCTTCGCCCTCACAACATCGTAAGGAGAATTCATGTCGTGTGGAAATAGATGGGAAGATGAAAAGAGAGTGTAAGTTGTATGAAATTGATCTTTTTGTTGATGAACTGCTACTATTTTTGGTATATTCTGTGATGAAGGGGTGAAAAATTTGTACTTTCCAGTGAAAGATGAACCAAGAGGGTACACTATAGGACGACCAATGAAACAGGAATACAAACCTGCAGTTGACGCGAGAAGTGAGTAATAGTTCTTGGAAGAATATTTTGCAATTTCGTAACTACGCTCGAAATCCATGAAATGTGGTAGGCGTGGCTGCGTACTTCAGCTAACGTGGCGGTGGACTGTACTTTTGGAGAGATATTTTCATTATGACACAATTGTGGTCATGTCATATCTAACACTGAAGATGACAGTTGTCTCAAAATGAAATATTCCCTGAGTAAGCCACTCTACGTCATTTTAAATGCCACGCCTACTCCATATCAGAGATAAGGAGCGTACATTGTTGTAATCCACGAACTCCGCCTTAGGAGTAATTTGAGAGGAGAGAATGAACCGGTTTCAGGTCGGTGTGATTTTATCGTGCCCCGAACGCTGGCTATCGAAATGAATGGAGTTAATATGGATTTATCTCATGCTCCTGAGTTCGTCAACAGATACCATATCAACATAACAAAAGTTAAACGTAACGATGATGAAAAAGACGCGACAAGAGGACCCAGACAGGAGTAAGCGAAAGGCAGCTTCTCGTGTGGTTTATCGAAAATGGTACCAACTGATAAGATGGTGTCTTGCAGCTTGCCTTCGGCACAGCGCAAACAAGCACTATTTGCCTTGTTCGGTCAAGTGGTTTCCGAACACCCGGAATATTTCGGAGAGAACAGCTGGAAGCATGTGTATGATCTCGGGAACACATTCTATTCTATTGGCTGTAAGATTACGGAGAACGATGGCGATGTCGTTTTTGAAATGGCTCCGGTGAGAATATTAAGATTTGGTCCTTATTTGCGCCTCATCATATTACGCACACTCGATACCCCAGAGCAGGGGTGGGCGTGGCTGCGTACTCCTTTCAAGCGTGGCCGGGGTATATTTTTGATGGGATGTCGCTGTTTTGGGACAGTTGTAAAGAAGTTTTATTCAGCAAAAGGCATGATAAGGGTTGTTCCACATGGTAAACACTTCACTGGAAATTCGTCCTGCGCCATGCTTAAATAGAGTTCGCAGCTACGCCCCCCCCCCCCTCGCGCCCTTCCTCGGGAAATGTGGTGTAACAGTGTTTTTGTAATCTGTGGATGCTGGGGCATGTCAAATGGTTGGATTGAGGCTGACCAAACCAAACTTTTGGCGCGCCCCAGCATCTGCTGCAGCAGAAAGACTACGGTTTTTACCGCCGAAATTGTAGGTCTCAGAATAGCTGTTCGTTTCTTTCAGGATGAAATCAACTGCCCACAGAGCCGCAATTTTCTGTCAAAAGGATGCAAGAAACTTATCATCACCGTACAATGGACAGGAAAGGTACTTGGTGGTGTCGAGAAAGTAAGAGCGCATCATTGAAGACGAGTTTCAGATATACATCAAAGGCCCAAAGCAAAATGAGGATGATGGCAGCCGTCGGGAAGCTGCAAGGTTTTTCGAGATCTTGACTAGCCAGTCTATTTTCAGCAAGTTCGTTTAGCTTGTCTTTCTGTTACTTGTTTAACTGTTTCTGCTTTTATTATTAACAACGAACTGAAACATAAAGGATAAAGGATAAAGTCTTCGCCGTTGATCAATCCCTTGTGGGATGCGGCACGCATTCTACTTCCATTCAGAATCGTAGTGGCTTATTGAATGCGATGTGGCCTATACAATGACTTGCGGGGGCCAGCCGATGTACAAGTCAGTGTTTTATCCTCCCAGACGAGGTACCAGTCCCCGGACGGTAAGAGGCCTGGTTGGCCAGGGCGGGAGCGATCCAGGTTAATCTCCGGACCGCTTGGTAGGCGGGCTCTTTCGCCACTGCACCAGAAATATTCATCTTTTATAAATGCAAATATCCATGGAAAACAAGCAATACTATCTACGTTAAAGTAGAAAACACGACGATGCTGTCCTATGAGTGGAGCATCAACAGGAGCAGGAAAGCAAAAGAGCTCTCGACCAGCAAAGATCCTTAATCAACACCTCTAGATTTTGAGGCACTGTACGAACTTGGACAGCATAGAAAATGGGGTGTCCTATGTGTTTGTAATCACAACATAATCAGCTTTATCTTTGTCTTTCGTCAGTATCACCAGAGATCGGTCTCGCGTAGTTGCGTGGGACCCCTGTCTCTAAAGATATTTCCCTGGTCATATTCTTCTAGCGTCCCTTCATGTCGTCCATCTTCACATCATCAAAGCGGGACATCGCGTATTTGTGCCGTAGAGAAGTGCGCTTCTATGCGATAGGGTGGGCGTCCTCAGATAATCGTACAGTAGCTTTATATGAACGAGACAAGTTTGAAATTTGTTCTCGTTTTCAATTGAAGTTTTTGCCGATTTCATCGTACTTGTGATCGCTTCGCAGAATCCTTTATTTGTTTTTTTTTCGACTCTTGCCAATAGTGATTGATTTTTCAAGTTTTGTGACACTTTTAGTGATCACCACGTCTTTGCCAACAAATTCTTCGAAGGTCGAGTTGATAACGACGTAAAGCTCGGAGAGGGCAAATGTGTCAAGAGCGGTTTTGAAAAGAACGTACGGTGGGTTTTTTGTGCTGTTGCTATCTTTTTTTTCGGTTCTGTTCCCCATATGAAGGGCACTTTGTAAGTTCCTGTCAACATCTCTGCAATTCTGATGCGAAATCCGGTGAAGCTCCTGTAAAGTTAAGAAGCAGTGCGGACTTGCTTCCTGTAAGATCACAGTATTAGCAAATAAGGAGGAGTAGACTGAAGTTTAGAGAAAGGGAAGGGATGCAAAATGAACCATAATTTCACTGGTCCATTATAGTTTCTTACCGCGTTCCAGGCACCAACTACCCGCTAACCCCGTGTGCCATAACTTCGCCTTATTAAAAAAATCCGTTAGAATTATTCTGTGCAATCTGAAATTGATGCGTACTATGCGTCTTGTCTAAGAGCTTCAAATACTGCTCCACTATTATTTGAATAAAGCTTTACAAAATGTATCCCCTCTCTTTAAGCGAACTTGCTCTTTCTTTACAATTGACAATTCCAGCAGATTGTCCCTATTACAGCTTCCTCGGCGATACTGAAGAAAATGCAGTTCCAGTGCTACAAATTGATAGTGAGTTCATTGTATCTGTTTCTCTACATTCATCTTCGATTCCGGATAGTGCTAGAATGTGCATACCTTTGTTGAGGCCTGCATCTCCTCTTTTTCTCATTTTTTTTTTCAAATTTGTTGCAATTTCAACACCTTACTTGTAGCGAAGAAATCACCATTTTATCGTGGACAGTCCGTATTGGACTTCATTCGTGAGCTTACCGATCGAAACCCTGATGACGCTTTGAGAAACAAGGCTATACGACAGAAGGTGGCTCGAGAATTGCGCGGTAAGGAAATTGATGCTTTTTCGGTACAGTATGTTCTGCAAAGTATAGATAATACTCAGTTTTTTTACAGATCTTGTTGTATCTACGACTCATCTAGAAAAGAACACGTGGTTTTACGTTCATGGTATTGTGGAAAGTAGTGCCAGAACGTGAGTCTTCCTTCACCCTCCTATTCGCCTTATACTCAGGGCACCTCCTGTCGTTGGGGAAATTTTTTTGCAAAAACGACCCCATCCTGAAAACATCTTGCCCTGTTAGACCCGGAGATGGACAAGCCAATCGTAACCTGTTGTCGCGCGCGCGGTACCCATGCGCGGCAAATCATCGATGTGCACCAGTCAATCGGTCGGAGTAGTGAAACGTATTTGAATTCAAGCAGAGGCAAAACTCCATGAGGGGCGATATCGAATTTCCCGCTTTAACACTCAAATCCAGAAGCCAGGAAGGTGAACACATCTGTCGAGCAGGGCGTCGCTCGCCGCGCCCATCAGTGCGACATTTTGCGATTGCCTTTTACTTACACGTACAACTTCCCCCCCCCCTTCCTCTCCCTTATCCTGCCCACCATCTTCCTTACCCTCCCCCTGTTACCCCATCTTCAGTTTTTTTCCGCAAAACTTCTACAGCTCTTCCGAAAAACTGCCGTCGAGAGAGAGAGAGAGAGAACTGGCACACGTGAAAAACGAGTGAAGTCAACGACCGGAAACATTTCCTCAACGGCAAGTACAACCGTTCCCCAATTCCTCCAGCGACCAAATACTTCGCTGGGTGTCCCCAGTGTAGGACTTGTCCTGCTTATATTTACTTCTTTATACACAATAACTATGTATAGATCTGTTTTCAGTCAGACGTTTGAGACGGATGAAGGTGAAATATCGGTGGAGCAGTATTTCAAAGAGCGATATAAACGTACACTGCGTTATCCTGACCTCCCGCTGGCCACAGAGCGTAAAGCTGGGAAAGGTTTCAGTTTCTTTCCCCTCGAGGTGCTGTGCATTGAGAGAGGTCAACGAGTGGATAACAAGAAACTCGCAGGAAAACTCGTTAGTCTTATAATGACGTACTACCCTTTTCTCTTGTATTGAACTAAACAAATCATTTTCAGACTGACAGAATGATTCAACAAGCCCGTATGCTGCCTCACGAAATGCGTGCACACAATTCGCGTCAACTAGAAGAAGCGAATCTCATAAAATGCAGAAATGAGTATCTCGCAGCATTTGGGGTTAGTTGTACTTGCTTCCATTCAGAGCGACATGTGCTCAAAGATGCTGATTTTCACAGTTCTCCTGATTCGGAGTATGTTGGGCTGGCCTGTTTGTGAAGATGTACTCAGAGCGTGGTACTACTGTGATTCCCTTCTCTTGTTTCAGGTCCGCACAGCCGATAGTTTCGTAAAAAGCGAAGCAAAAGTATTGTGTGCTCCAGAGATCAAGTATAAATCTTCGTAAGTTTTCGGTTGTTTAGTTTCGTACTAGATGATGGAGGTGTATAGAGCCGGTTTATGCTTCGCGGCTGAGGAGACCCGGCGATTTGGGAGACATCGCTTGTCTGGCGGTTGTGCTCTGAAGGAGTGGATGAGTATGGATGGGCGCCAGCCGTTAGGGATTGTGGAGGTACGGCGATCCGATAATTTGGGAGATCGCCGAGTACCTATAATTTCCTCGTCGTACAATCTCTCAAATCGCCGAGTCTCCAAAATCATCGAATCTCCTCAGTCGCAAATTCTCCTCCGTACTCTCCAATAATTTCATGCTTTCAGAAGTATACAACCTGATAGGGGCGGAACATTACAATGGCGGACAAATCCTTCTATGCAGTTCTACCAACCCGCTACGGTCAAAAACGTGTCCCTGGTCATTTCGATA